TGGTGCCGGGGATGGGGCCTCCCCCGCCTCTCTGGGCAACCTGTGCCAGTGCCTCACCACCCTCACTGTAAACAATTTCTTTCTTATGTCTAGTCTAAATCTATTCTTCTTTAGTTTAAATCCATTATTCCTTGTCCTGTCACAACAGGCCTTGCTAAAGATTGTTCCCATCCTTCCTGCAGGCCCCCTTTAGGTACTGGAAGGCCGCACTCAGGTCTCCCCGCAGCCCCCTCCTCTCCAGGCTGAACACCCCCAGCTCCCCCAGCCTGGCCCCGAGCAGAGGGGCTCCAGCCCTCCGACAGATTTATTTAGGACCCTGCATGCCCTGGTCAGACAGTCAGAAGCCACCAGAGCATCACCTAAACTGAGCTGCGAGGCAAGGACCTGCGGCAGCAGGCTCTCCCTGCGCTGCTGGGGAGGAGGAGGATGGTCTCTTTCACGCCCTGGATATGACAACTGTTGACCAGCCCCACACTGACCGCTTGTGAACCCTGGAGTGCTTCATAAGGGAAGCTGCTGGCTTCAGCACAGCCTTCTGAAAATGGTGAATATTTTACTGGGAAAAGCCCAAGTCCTAGTGTGAAGGGATGAGGCACCAAAAAAAAAAAAAAAAAAAAAAAGATCCTTACTCCTCTGTGATTTCTTCTGGCAAAACCTCACCACGGAAGTGAGCCTTAAATAGCTCCTGAAGGCAGGATGCAAGCACTGATAACTGCTCCGAGTCAAAGTCCTCCTGGTAGAGAGAAGGGAAGGAATGAGAGGAGAAAGCACAAGCGCAAACCCTGCCTGCCCAGCACAGGTACAGCTGGAAGGGACGCAGCAGAGTCACTGCTGCGGGGAATGGACCCCAGGCTGCTCAGGGGCCATTTTGCTGCTATATTGCAGCACTGGGAGCTGGCCACCAGCGAGACAAGCCCCTAATTGATGTCCAGCTCGGAAGCACTTCACAGTCACCACAATCCACTTATCCTCTAATGGCTAGTAATTCACTCAGCTCAGCTCTCCCTCTGCAAAGGGCTAACAGGGACCGAAGGCACCTGGCAACGAGGATTTACACCCTGACAAGCCCTTTCCCCATGCTGCCACAGAGGGGAGAAGCAGCTCTCGTATACCAAAAGGCCACTCGACTCTCAAGGGAGCTGATTAGAGGCAGGCGATGCAACCTCTCCTTGAACGCTCAGCTCCTGGGAAACATCCGCAGCTCTTCTGCTGGGCAGGGCTTGCTGCAGCCTCTCCTGAGCACAAAGCCCAGGGCCAAAAGCGAGGGAGCACACGCAGAAGCCCCCAGGAGCTCTGTGCACTACAGCAGCCACGCGGGGCCAAAATGTGAGCGCGCCTCACCCGGTGTCCCATCCGAGAGCAACTACCGGGGACGTTTAGGCACGGGGTCTAAGGAAACACAGCATGGACGGAGCGGTCTTCCCCTGCGAGACCCTTCCAGCAAGCAGCAGCTTGGGGCTGTGTTTAACGACCACGGACAGAGCTGCACAGTGCCATTTTGAACTCGTTTAGGATTTGAGTGTCCTCAGGCTTGTGTCCCGCCTTCGGCAGCAGCTCTAGGGGCAGGCTGGGGGCTGCGGCGCCC